TTTAATAATGATAATCAAAAGTCATCATCAAAAATCCTATTTTGGTGGTGACATTGAGTCCAATTTTTATGATAACTTTTGATTATTGTCATTAAAAGTGGACTTTTAGTGACGTTCTTTTTCACCGCGCGTAAAAGTCACTAATCATATCTTTTTATAGTTCTGGTTGTAATATGAATGAAGCAAGACTTTTGTGTCCACCCAAATATTATTTGGGAGAATTTTAACTAAGGATCATAGAAGAGAGATATTTATTAGTTGGTCCAAAAAAATTTATAATTTTACTATAAAATTTTTGGACTAAATTGAATTAAAATGGATGATTGAAAAGATTAAAATGCCTTTTTGCAAAAGGAAAAAAATGATTGATAACTGATACTGGCAAATTAACATGTAAAGTTAGAGAATTAGCAACAAATGATTCTGCATTTAGGACAAAATGATTGAACTAATATGATTATAAGTCATGTAATTTACAATTGATATTGATAAATTAACAAGTAAAAGTTAGATAATTAATAACTGATATTAATATGACTATTGACGGGCAAAGTCGGGTAATTTACAATTGATGTTAATAAATTAACAAGTGAAATAAGAAAATTAACAATTAATGATGGTGCTTTTCAATCAAATTGAGTGAACAAGTCTTGTAAATGATTCACAAATCAAGTTAAGTAGTTAACAAGTCATACTGACAAATTAACAAGTAAAAGTATGAAATTAACAAGTAATATTTTTAAGATTATGGAATCACAAAATTAACTAGTTAATTATTTAATAAGTAATGTTAAGTAATTAACAAGTGTAAGTAAGCAATTAACAAGTAAAGTTGGATAGTAATCAAGTATTTGTTAATTTTGTAGAAGGGCATTTCGATCTTTTCAGTAATCAATTTTATTTTAATTTATTCCAGAAATCCTGTACTTAAATTTTAGATTTTTTTAGGACCCACTAGTAAACATCTCTCTTTCATGGTCCTTAGTTGAAATTCTCCTGTTATGTCATCCCTTATTTATAATATTAATTTATACATTAACCACATGCTTTTCATCATGCCTAATAGAATTTGGAATAATACAACCTCCACATCCGCACAAATGTTTTGAAAATGATGGGTGATAGCGTAAAAAATATAAAGTTCTTTGGTGAAGGCAAAATAAGCATGGCATGTAAATCAGGTCAATATACTCAATTGAATCAATAAACTATTAATTCAGTATCTTGATTAATTTGATCACAGTTTGACTATGATTTTAACCATTAATCATTAATCATTGTTGTCAAACTCTCAACTTCATATCACCAACCCTGATCATGTAGTTTGCATTAATTCACAAATGTAGAATCTTTTTCTTTTCCAATTGAAATTAACAAGGAAGAATGATAGATAAATTCTTCCAAAATAGAGAAATGATAATTTGGTTCTATGAAATTCAATAATGACAATAAGATTTTAAGGACTTCTTTGAAATTAAATTTACGTGTGAAATTACTTGAGTACCTTTTTACAATTTAGAAAATTGTGATTTTTTAAATTATTTTAGTCATTAGTGAAACCAAACTTGTAAATACTTATATTAAACTTGTAAATTATATAAAATTAATTGGACTTTGTTGATAGAAAGTTGTGATTTTTTAAATCATTTTAATCATTAGTGAAACCAAACATGCAAATACTTATATTAAATTTATGAGCCATATAAAATTAGTTGGACTTTATTGATTGAAGAAAATTACTAATAAAAAGGATGATTTCCTAAATTATCTTAGTTATTGGTGGAGCCAAACTTGTAAATACTTATATCAAATATGTGAACCATATAAAATTAGTTGTAGAGAGCACTAAAGTAATTGCACATAAAAATTTAATTTCAAAAAAGTCATTTGGGATCTAACTGTTATTAGCATATTTCATGGGATCAAATTATTTTTTTTATTTAAGAGGGATTAATATGTTATTCTCCCAATTAACAATCGATAATGTATCCTTTATTTTTCTCATAAGTCTAACAATAATAAATCCTTGTTAGCACTTAAGGCTGCAATATATGACAGATAATAAGATTGCAAAAATAATAATAATTATTGTCAAATAGTTACTCCCTCTGTTAAAAAATGTAAGGTATTTTTAATTGAATTTCACCCCCCAATAAAGTAGTTACCTACTTTCAAACTAACCATATCTTTTTATATTTATCCCTATTAAATATCCTATAATAAATATAAAGTTATTATCAATAGGACTCTTTTGGAAAAAAAAAACAATGATAATACATCAAAAGATTAAAAATACCTTATATTTTTAAATATCTAATTTTTTAAAAAATATCTTTTATTTTTAAACGGAGTAGTATAAAGGAAGTTCCCCGAAAAATGTAGGGAAAAGTTCGACTTTCTAAGTCCATGGCCATGAAGCTGGAAAGTGGTCACGAAGTCTTTCAATTCGTCACCTTCCTTACTTTCTTTAATCTTTAATTAATTAGAGATAAAAATTATCTTTTTGATTAAAAGGAAAATTGTATTAACCAAATTTCAAGATTACATGGTGAAGGAAAAGACTGAAAATAATCATAACGAAATTGACTTGCAGATAAAATAGAGAAGAAAATTTTTGAGAAAAAAACAGTTACAGCAATAAATGTCCCCGCCAATTGATGATTGATGATAGTTTTGAGAATACGTGAGGGAAGATAGATTCTTCCGATGGTTTTGAATGAATAAACTTGTGTGTTCGTTGACGGGTGAATCAATGTAGAAATAATCCAATAAAGAACTACTCTGAAAGCTACAAGAGTTTGTGGGTTGTGGATTTCGTTGTTGGAGTGAGAAATCTACTCGAAAACTCGAGATGAATGACCCTCGGAGATAGCAACGAAGAAAAGCCAATTTATTTGGCAACATATTTTAGTTTTTTTTTTCAGGATAAAAAAATAAAAAAATTTATTTAACAACGTATTTTTAAAAAATATTTAAAAAATAAAATATTATTCTGAAAAATAGAAAAATAAAAACATTTTTTAAGTATTTTAATATTTTAGAGAACAAAGAAGAATGAAAAAATATTTATTGTTATTATTTTTTTTATTCTTAAAACATGTTTTACAAAATATTAATTTTTAAAATAATAAAACACAAATAATTTCAAACACGTCCCAAGTTTGTTAGTTTTTCATTTTCTTGAAAATATGAAGAAGCCAATCAGAAAAGAGCGGGTTGGCTAAGATTGAAGGGATTGGATGATTTGCGATTGTAAAAGGGGATGGGAGGGAGATAAACAATTATCAATGTGGCTTTCTTTTATGATCAAGTACTACATTTTTTAAAAAATAAAAAAGAAAAACAATATTCAATGAGACTTTTTCTATTTTATCCTCAACGTAAGATAAAATATATCATATTGTGTTTTTTAGTCTGTGTACAATAATTTTAAAAAACATTTCCCTGCTGCATTTATTTCAAAATATATGCTGTTTAGAATATATATATATATATATATATATGTTTAATTTTATATGTCTTTTTAGAAGCACAATGCGGCATTTATTAAAATTTTCTATTATTCCTTCATTTACTCTAACAACTTCAAAACAACATTTAAATTTTGGATAAATATTTATAAATAATAATATTTAAATTATTTAATCTTGAAATACTTAATATTTTAATAATATTTTATTAAAACAAATATAATAATTTTTAATTACTTACCTATATTTTCAGGATTGATGATCTGATAAGCACTTGATAGCTAGTCAAAGTGACTAGTTAAAATGATGTTTTTATATTTTATGAGTAAGAAATAATATTAGTTTATTAAAATTTATTTATTATTTAATGAATATAATTTGTATTAATTTTTGTAAAAGGTCATTTTTTGTAATTGTGTTGGTCAAGTAATAATCAAGTTTACATATATTTAACTATGGGTGATATTGTTTTATTTTTTTAGGAAAAATATAATTTTAAGTCCCTGCACTTTGTGTGCATTTTGTTATTGGTCCTTGCACTTTTTTTATATTTTAGATCCCTATGCTATTTTCTTTTGGTGTTTTAGGTTCCTTCAAGGTTGCTATACTTGGTTTATTTAGGAATCTAGAACACAAAAAAATAGAAGTGTAAGGACTTATAATATTAAAAAAAGTGTATGGACCTATAATAAAATATAAATAAAGTGTTAGAATTTAAAGTTATGATTTTTTTATTTTTTAACATGTGAACGGTAATATTGCACCACCTTCACTTGAGAGTGCTCTACCCGCATGAAAAAAATGAACCAATTAGTACTTTGTGACTTAATATTCAAATCTCTAGTGCTAGAATTTGAAATTAAAAAAAAAAGGTAATTCAACCCTACACATTACTTATTTGGTCAAAAAAAAAAAAACCCTACACATTACTTAATATTAAAATCTCTATGGCTAGAATTTGCAATTAAAAAAAAAAAAAGCAATTCAACCCTACACATTATTGTGTGGTTCCATGCCTCTATTTTATTCTTTTACCTAAAGTATCTTTACAACGTGCAATTGTGAGATTAATCCTTTAAAAAAAATCAAAACACCATTCTCCCTGTGTTTAAAAATGTAACTATTTTTTGAAGAGTTGGATGTTAAAAAATACAAGGCATTTTTAATCTTTTGAAGTATAATCATTATTTTTTTTAAAGTACCCATATTAATAATGACTTTATATTTATTATAGAGTGTTTAATAGGAGTAAATATAAAAATATAGAGTTAGTTTGAAAGTAGGTAACTATTGGGGGATAAAATTCAATTAAAAATGCTTTACATTTTTAAATGGAGAGAGTACTGATTGGTTAAAATTCTAATTTTATTGGTTAATTCAATGATGCTACTTGTTAAAACTATAAAGGGCATTATGATTATTTCATTATAAAACATAATTTTCAATTTAGTTTCTTGGTATTGTAGTGAGTTTTCAGAATTTTTTTATCCTCATTTGATATAATGTCCCATCGATAGTGTTATAATGAAATTCTCCCACAAAAATCATGTTAAAAAATACGATAATTTACAAGCATCCATTCAATATAAAGAAACTAAACCTTCAAAATCACTTAGAGAAATAGAACATAAATTGAAAGCGAACTAAACTGAAATCCTAATGTATTTGGAAGCCCTAGAACTCCTGCATACAATTTGCCACTTAAAAAGCTTGGTTTCTCAGCGAAAATCGTAAGCACCTTTCTCATACTCATCATAATTGGCTGGATTCTTCATGAAGCTGGCAAGTTCAGAATCATGGGAAGCTCCCTTGATTGTATAGTACTCCTTCCACCAACGCATGAAGCTACTTTTCTCCAAGAAAATCTCTGGTGAAACTGCATACTTCTTTAGCAACCCATAAACATACTTCTCAAACTCATCCAAACTATTCACCGCCTCTTGCTTCTCTGTTGCATTGGATGCTACAGCCTTAAGTTTTTGAGACGAAATGAGAGCCTCTTCGACATGTGCCCAAAAGCAAGAATCCAACGTCAATATAGATCGTACGTTCTGCCTATTTTCCAACTCATTACTACCAGGTTTCTTCTTGTCACTTTCCATCCACTTCTCTAGCAGCTTATAATGCTCAGATCTTCCTTGTTTTATGTAGTCTCTTTTTCCCTCCTTGTAGTAACAAGCAATGTCTAATGGTTCCACCATTCTCCTGTAATTAGTCCCAGCAAAGAGCCATCGGGTACGAAAAGCTGCACCTTCTTTCTGGGGCTGTTTCTCTACCTCTTCCACCATCTGTTCCCAGTATAGGTTGAGTTCCTTCCTGTACCTGATTATATCCTGGTCAGACTCAACATATTCCATCTTAGAACAGTCGTAATACCCCATTCCCTTCCTATTCGCTTCCTTCTTGTACCACTCCAAACAGGCCATATTTATTTTCATGTCATCCAATTTCGTGTTTGGGACAAACCGTTTCCTCTTATCCAGAGTCTTTTGCACTTCCTGCAGTTCTTCTACCAAATTCTCCAGGATAATTTCCTGACACATCAATTTCAAAAACCAGGTTATATCATCCAATCCTCATTCATTTTGTTTCAGTTTTTAACAGTGGTTGAATTCATTTTAGATTGAACAAATAAGGGTTTGAGGTACCTGCTGCAATTGTGGAAATCCCAGAGCACATAACTGCAAACTGAGGCATGCCTTGAGCTGATTAGAATTAGGGATGCTGTTGGGAACACCATAGTCTTTGCAAATTGCCTTGTGATTAAGATTCCCCACAATATTTCCATAATCATGAATTTGCAGCCTTTGATTCAGCTGACTCGTGGCCTTTTGAATCTTCAGAATAGAATCAGGGTTCTCAAAACAAGCAGAGCCATGATCAGAACACAAAAGGAATATTCCAAAGGATCTGTAGTCATCAGAAATTGGGGAGGCAAGACATGGGTCCTTGAGAGAGATCACATGTAGAAAGCAAGAGTTCAAATAAGAACTTTGAGATAAAGCATGTTGAAGGTTCTGGTCTCCAAGAAGTGGAGACCCAAAGGTGATACATAGTGGACGCTTGTCCGCTATTGGCTTCACATCTCCTAACAGCAATAAAGTGAAAAGAGAAGCAATTGATCCTCCAACAGCATGCCCAGTAACAATCACTGGTTTTTTGAGATCGATCTGCATTATACAACAAAACCCCATACAGGGATGGGCCCAGAATTTTTAATTAAAAGGAGCTGATTACAAACCATATACGATAATTGAGGGAAAGTTGCATATATATATATATATATATATATATAATTAATATCTCAACACATTCATATTAAATTTTATAATACACACACACACACATATATATAAAACTAAAATAAACATGCACTTTCGTTTTTAAAATCTTGCTTATTGATTTTTCATGAAGTAAAAATCATCAATAAATAAGAATTAGGCTTTTTAACCTCTACAAAAATTTGACATAATTCATTTATTAGTCAAGTTATAAAATAAGGATTTTTGGACATATCAAGCTTATAATGCTATAATCTATATTACAATCAAATTTTTTCTTGGTTAGAAAAATTTGAAAAATAAAATTTCTCAACAAGATTGCATATGTGCCTAGCATTGAATGATTTAAATATATTCTTAAATTCAAATGTGTGTACAATTTAAAAAAACTTTGTTGCTTGCTCACTAAAGTAGATCTTATGTTTAGTATCTATTTTGTTGGGAAAAAAAAATATTCTCTTTCCAAATGTCATTGTATGTTTAGTAATTAGGTAAAGTTAAATTTTTTTTTTTTTTTGGATAGCATAAGGAGTAGATTTTGCCAACAACAGAGATTTTAAATTGTTATATATACAAGGGTTAAGATTTAAATCTACAACAATTTATTTAAATGACGAAAGCCTTTTATCACTCACCCTAACTTTAATTAGTAGGTAAAGTTAAATTTTTTTTATTTTTTTATTTTGACTGAAAGGTAAAGTTAAATTTTGTTAGTACTAAATATAAACAAATATATTTCTTTTGTTAAAAACATATAACTCCTTCATTTAACAAAAATTAAAAATTAGAGAGTGGCTCCCCCTGTTTCCCTGTGTCTGCCAGTGAGCCCACACCTAACTATATGAATATTGTTTGGTTCAGCCCTTTTCTTTTTTCTCTAGTATTTTTTTTTTAGCAGAGGTCCATTTTAAAAAAAGTACATAAAAGGACCAAGGAATTAAAAATTCCCTGGGCCCAAAGACAAATGCAAACTTAAAACGGAAATACAAGATGAACTACAAAACAAATCAGAGCAACGATTTTGCTCTGCTTCAATCGTCAAGCAAGCAAATCAATATGCTTATACAAATAGACGGCAAATTGCTTTAAAAAACAAAAAACACATAATAACTCCTCTTGTATCTCCAGGTTATCAAAAGAGACAAAGAAGTACGTACCTCGGATTTTAGTTGACCAAGCTGGGTTCGGTATTCATTGAACAGGGAAAATACAAACTGATTAAGAGAGAACTTGGGGTTGGTTTTGGAACAGATAAATTTGAAGGGATTGTCGTTCATGTCGATCGAAAAAGGAAGCAAATCAGATTGAGCATGATTTTGGGTTGACCCAAACGCTATAACTGTCAAACCTGATTCGCTATCTATTTTGAAGAATAGATTCTGGTTTGAATGGGTTTCGGCGTACAGGTCTGAGATGAGCTTACATGAAGAAGTGAGAAGGTCAGAGCTGGCCACGAAAGATGCCAACTCTAATCCACTGCTAAATCTGCAATCAAAAGAACAAGCAGAGCACTTCAGACAACGAAATAGTAAGAAGCAGAACAGTTATCCTTAAGGAATATTAATAAAAAGTTGAAAATTCACTTACAGTGTAGATTGATTCTGGGTCATTGAACCCTCAAACTGTTGAAGAGGAGCTCAAAAGCGATGATGAGATTTAGTGGGTATCTGATTGTTATATACACAGGAGGGTTTCATAATTCATATATAATTACATAGGAAATTCACTGGAAACTCCCGTGCCTCAGAGTGAAGTCAATACGCGGGTCTCAAATCAAAGTCATCGATTTTTTCTCGCTTTTCTGTTTTTGGTTTGTTTTTCTTTAATCAGTGATAATCAATCGATAACGTCTCTCGATCATCTAATAACAATGAATCTGTCCCCATTTAAGGCCGGCGAAGGCAATACATGGCAGAGATTTCTTTTGGATGAGGTAGGCCCGTTTGGTAATGGAGGAGGGAAAAGGCGAGGAAAGAAGTATGGAGACGGCATAAAAAAGAGAAAAAGAATTAAAAACTTGTTTGGGGCAGTAAATAAATTAGTTAGGAAAAATATAATTATTAATTTCTATAATTTTGTCCTATTTTATTATTGGTTAATGCATTTTTTTTTATCAATGCAAGTCCCTATATTTTTTTTGACATATAACATTAGTTCCTTTATTTTTAAATATACTTATAAAGATGATGATGTGATATAAATGGTATTAAATTATAACTTGGCTTGTCTCTACTACCTTTTCTCTCCATTTCTTTTCTACTACCCTACGATGAAATTTAAATTATTCAGATTTAGTGCAAATTAAATTTAAATGATCCAGATTTAAAATTTTTATTTTTTATTTATATTTATATTTTATATTTATTAAAATTTAAATTTAAATTTTTTAATAAGTCTACTTTATCACCATTCAAAACAATCCAAATTTAATTTGAAGGATTCAAAAATTATAAGTATAAATTATAAATATAAATAAAAAATAAAAAATTAAATTTAAACTATCTAGATTTAATTTACACCAAATCTGAATGGTTCAGTTTTTATTTTAGGGTGGTGGAGAGGAAATGGAGAGGAAAGGTAGTGTAGACAAGCCAAATCCATTAAATGAGGACATTTGATGTATAAAATAAAAGACTTGACCCATAATGGCCAAAAAATAAAAATTTAAATATAAACTATTCAAATTTAATCTACACCAAATCTGGATGGTTTAGATTTTATTTTCAAGTGGTGAAAAGGAAATGAAAAGAAAAGATAGTGAAGATAAACCAAATCCATTAAATTAAGATATTTGATGCATAAAATAAAAGACTTAACCCATAATGGCCAAAAATCACTTTTTGACAGTGACAAGTTTTTTTTCTACAAGTCCAGAATAATCTTTGTCAGGTATCAATCATCCCATTTTTTACCCACTGTTAATTTAAATTGCCAACTTATTATATTTGAAATATGTTAGCATCCTCATTAACATTATTAGTTATATACTAGAAAATTTGACATTGTTATTAGTGTCACAATATCATCCCTTTAAGCATATTTAAAAATAAAGCAGCTAACGTTGTGACGAGAAAATTTAGAAAGATTTGGAACATTAGAAAAAAAAAATATTATAAGGACCAATATGAAGTAATACTTGTGTTTCCCAATAAATTATAGATGTCTGAGTGAAGAAAAATGGTTGCCTTTTATCAAAGATATCAAAGAATAGGAAACATAAATATAAAATCTCTAGAGTACCCCTCCTCTTAAAATATATTAAAGCAGTGCAATATGGGTGTTTTATTTTTTAATAGTAAAGCATATATCGAAATAACAATTGTTTTGATTATCTTTATTGACTCCAGACCAAAAAACTTTATCATTAGTTATAAATTAATAAAATAGGTAATAATATATAATTTTATTAATTAAACAATAATAAAAAGTATAATAGTAATTATATTTCATTATATTATATATATATATATATATCTCACAAACTAAGGTACTGAAAATCAGACAAAATATTGAATTAGTCAAAACAATGGATTAAGGGTTAGTGGTTGAATCAGGAGTTAACCTGAGTCAGATCGACCTTAATTAAAATAATTTAATTTAATTTATATACATAAAAATATGAATTTGAATATAAAAAATGAATATTTAAATAAATGAGAATATTCATTTAAATACAAAAAATTTACAATTTTCCTTTTTATTTTTTTAAAATTAATAATTTAGTATTTTTTTAAAAGAACAATTTAACATATTTCATTTATCTTCCTCATTTTCTACTGCTATGGGCTGAATAAATAAAAAATTATAAAAATTAAATAATAAAATATTTTACTTTTACAAACCAAGATTTTATCATTTAGATAATATAATACAATGAAAAAATAAAATGAAACAATATTAATGTTATGCATTCGAATTAATTAAATTAAATGCAGCAATAATTCGTTGAAGAAAAATTCAAAACAGAAGACACACACTTACCGAAATATGTTCCCAACTTCCAAGATATTGATCTAAACAATAATATTTTATTAATATCTTGTTAGGCTTTTCTAGAGCCGATAATTCGGGCCAAGCTTGATAGGTCAACTCAAACTCGTCCGAAAAAAGTTAGGGCTGAGGTTGGCTATATGGGCATTTTTAAGAGGGTAGGATAGTTTAAGCCCGTCCAAATTGAGTCTGACCTAAATAAGCCCAACTGTTGAAATTTTTGCCTTTATATGTATATAGAGTTGTTAATTTTGGCTAAGCTCGAACCCAATCAAAAAAGATTCGGCTGACTTGGCTCTATGTGCTTTTTTAAGAGGGTAGAATAATTCAAGCCCGATTCAATTAAGCCGGGCCTGAATTGAGCCTAAACCAAATAAGCCCGACCTGACCGAATTATTGGCTCTAGGCTTTTCACTCTCTTGCAATTGATCTAACATTTTTTCTTAATCTTATAAAATGTGCAAAAACTTGAGAGTAAGATAGGAAATGTGCATTAGTTAGTTATCTCTTATTTTCTACAATCTAAACAAAATCAAGCTCGAAAACTTCTTTCTCGATTTTTTCTGTTGGGTCTATAGTTTTTTCATCTCCCATCTTTCTTTTCATTGTAGATTTGTAGCAAAAATGGCAGATAGATGGATCTCAAAAGAGTAAGGGTTTTAATTTTTTTTTATATCTAGTTCTTCTTTTTCCACTTCTTCATTGTTGTTTCTTTCCCTATCTTCCTTCTTGTTCGTATCCTTTCTTTTCTTCTGCCTTCATCTCTTCCCATTTCTTTTTCTAACCATTGGCTTCTTCTTTTTGTGTTTTTTTTTTAATTTTCAACCAATCCAGTGAACCAAGGTGAAGTTGCAATGTCGTTTTGGTTTTGCTAGTAAGAATGTAACTCAGCGAACCTATAAGGTTCGTCGAGTTGTCTTGGGTTGGCCAGGTTACATCGAATCAATCCCAAATCAGTTTTAATGGAAAATCAAACTAGGAAAGAGGTTGGTTTACCACTTTACAGGTTGAACCGGCCGGTCCGATCTAGTTTTCCATTCGATATCACGAACAAAAGCTGTACAACATTATATTACAATACATTACACCCAAGTTAGCTTATTTTAACAGAGACACATTTTGGCAAAAAAAAAAGCATAGAAACTAGAATTTATAAATACTAAACTAGATAAATTTAAGGGAGAATGACATAAAAATACCCTTAAAATATGCAAATGATAATTAGGTACTGTGAAATGTGATGATTATTTTCTAATCCATGGAGACTTGCTTGACATTTTTTTATGAAATGACATATTTGTCCCTATTAAAAATTTATATGTGAAGTCCAACCACTAAAAATTAATTATTACTTTTTGTTAAGAAATGACTAGTTTTCTTGGTGAACTAACTAGAAAGGAATAACAAATAACAAGTTTCTCCATGCAAAATTTTTTATCAATGAAGTCCAATAATTAAAAATTAGTTACTAATTTCCTTTAAAAAATGACTAGTTTTTTTTTTTGAAGAAATGACTAGAACGGAACAGTAAATTACAAGTTGTTTTGTGAAAATTTTTTATCATTAAAGTCTAACAACTAAAAATTATTTACAACTTTCTTTCAGGAAATGACTAGTTTTCTTGAGGAAATGACTAGAATAGTAAATTATATGTTTTTCTATGCAAATTTTTTTTTATTGGTGTCTAACTACTAAAAATCAGTTACTTCTTTCTTTAGGGTCAGCTTTTTTCCACTATGTTTTTCCTCTATTGCTCATTCACTGTAAATCTAAACTGTTCAAATTAAGTCTATACTTTTAAAAATTAGTAAATCTAAATTATCAAATTCAATTTAACAGTCTAGATATGCAATATATCATCCTTAATTTGCAAAGGAGGAAATCTAACTTCTCTTTCTTTTGAGTAATGACTATTTTTCTTGGAGAAATGACTAGAATGGAATAGCAAATTTCAAGTTGCTTTATGCAAATTTTTTTATCAATGATGTCTAATAACTAAAAATCAATTACTAACTTTTGTTAGGAAATAACTAATTTTCTTGGGCAAATTACTAGAATGAAATAGAAAATTACAAGTTCTAATAGCTATCTTTCTTTTTATTTTTTAGAAGTATAAAAGAATCATTTTCCATTAAAACTAATTGACAAACAATGTCACACCCATCGAGTCAAGCGTGACTGGCATGAAGTACAAGATAAATCTCTGACATATTGCATTATTTGCATACATTTTAGGATGGTTTTCTTACATTATTGCATTCATAAAAACTCAATTCTTGCATAATTAGGCATTTCTAGGCCTTGGGAATCAATTAGAGTTTATTCTTAACTTTGGGGTATTTTGGCCATTTTGGCAATTTTTGGGACATGGAACATTAACCTAATTTGTATCTTTTGTCTTTCTAAATACAATGGCACAAATTTGAGCCCTCTAATTCATTATAGATTGGAAAAAGACATCAAAAGACACAAGTCACATGTTATTGTTAGAAAAAGACATTAATACTAAGTTGTCGCATTTTGCAACCTAGGATATTGGAAATAATATTGTATCTTGCAATTGAACTTTAATTATCATTTGAGATTATGCACATATGTTTTGATATCTCTTGTGTGAATAATTACAAGTCTAAATTGTAACACTCTAAAATTTTACATCAATTTTTTACAATTCTATGATTTTTTTAATGGAACTAAAGTTATTAAACGCCTATTATAACATCCTGAGCTTTTAATCCTAAAGCTAATTAATACTAATAAGTAGGAATAAATTAGGAAATTAATGAATTAATTTGATTAATCAAAATTTTGGAAGGTAAATTGGTATTTTGACTAGTTGGATTATCAGATGGTTAGGATCGAGTAGAAGAATAGCAGTCTAGAACAAAGCGTGGAGCTACAG